AATAATAAAATTATTAAAACCAAAATTTTGAAATAACTTAATATTATTATAATTCAATTCAATAATATTAATAACTTTATTAATTAAAATTTAAAAACTAAAGTTTTAGTTAAAATATATAACAAATCAATATTTAAATTATAAACCAAAAGATGGCAATCGTTGTCCCATAAGTGATATTAATTTAAGCCAAACCTAAAGTTCAATTGTTATTCATTTCAATTGTACAATAGATGACGGCATCGGTTCCATAAGATATAAACATTTGTCTAAAACTTAAAATGTAATAAATAGATAACAGATTTCACTAACTCTTCCATAAAGGCCTACAAATTGCAATAAATTATATTCGTGTTTGAGTTTAGCTCAGGGTCAATTTAAATATTTTAAATGAATCACGAGTGATGAGTATAACCATATATGGTAAAAATTATAAATATAAAACATGCTCATATTATATTAATGCCAATTACTTTCCCCAAATTGTATTAATGATGTACTGTATAATATTTATTGACCTAGGATAAATTTTAATTATAACCCCTTCTATAATATGTACCAGAATTTATGTAGAATTTATGAATTGATTGGGTTTTTCCAAACCAATAACTAATAGATTGTGAAATGAATTAATAGTGAATTAATTAATATTCACTTGATTTTCACAATTGAAGGATTACTTAATAAAGCGTTGAATCGATACTCAAATCTATCATTAAGTTTAAAATATCGCGGAGAAAAATGTCACCAAATTATGTTCAAAAGTTTTATTCACACGAATGCCAGCCATCGGGACATCAATTATCTCATCAGACAATCGCTAAGTTATGGCACCTAATGGTCGGACAGGGACTCAGAGCACGGATGTCAGCAGTTGTTCAGTTGTGGTCAAAGACAACAACAGCTAATCTATGGCTAATGACTCACAAGAAGATTGTATGTGTGATCACCGTTGGAACCAATGGACAAGACTTTTGTTTCGCTCGTTTTTATGATCACAATCTAAAGACTATTCACTTTAAAGTGGATCTCAATCAGGACTTTGTCTTTGAGACCAGGAGTTCAGTGTTTTATGTCTTAAGCGGATCCGACGGTCAGAGCATTGGTATTAAATTTGGTGACAAATTAGAGGCAAAAAAATTCAAAATAATAGTAATGGAGAAAAGACTCAAACAATTTGAACAGTTGTCTGAATGCAAGCCATCGCCAGACTTGCCATCAAATACTGGACTCAAGACAATTGAGTCCAAAGAGAAACACGCCATGGCTTCGGATAAAACATCACTCAATACTTCCAAACCATTGAATACTAATCTGAAGACACATTTGCATGAATACCGATCCCTTGCATATCGGGGTTTTCATCGGATATCGGAACCGCTCCGTAGGCCTACAACTCTGCCAAAGACATCATTAAAACCCAAGACTAGGTCTTCAATACTAACCAATGGATCAGTCATTGACTTACAATTGGATCCAATTCTTGACACAAAGATTGAGAAATGTTTCACTCAATTATCAAAAAGCCTTCAATTAATGGATTCATCACTCAATCAACTGATACTCGATGTCCGCCACAAAAAGCACACAAATCAAGAGGTATTACCATTGATTTTAATTGATATAAAGTATATAATCAGCGATAAATTACAGCCAAATTAATTTTAAAACAGGATCAACCAATTGATATATCCCTGTCATCGGTGGTTGAATCGGACAAAACTGTAGACACACCTGCGATGGGCGACGATAACCAATCGATCACTGGATCCGATTCAGACAGAGACACAAAAAGTAGTTATCGGACGTATAGAAGAAAGAAACGCTTCCGACGAGGAGTTCCCGTTAGGAAATCACTACATTATAGGGCTATATATAATAGTTATCATTTGTCACAACAGTTACCGGAATCGGTGCGCGAAGTGTCCGAGAAATTGGCCTTAAATACTACGCTTAATGGACATGAGTTGGCCACCGATGACCACTCGGATCTAATTTGTGATACCGAAGAGGAGGACAGCGAAGCTATTGTCACTAAAAACAACGACAATCAATGCGACGGCGGAATCGATGACTACGACAAAGGATATGATGTACTTTTATATTTACTGAGTGAGCATCAGATTAAAGTCGGCTACGGCTTAACCTTTTGGCGTCGCTGGTCAAGTGGTGCCCACAATTACGGCCAACAGATGCCTCAACGCCGGGTAATACCCGTGGATTCGGAAACATATAACCGGTTTCGGGAAGTGATGGGCGACCGGGCGTTGACATCGAAGTTTGAGTCCACACTCGTGTTGATTAGAAATGATTCTTCGAGTTTAGAATTGGATGTAAAATCAGATTATATCGACATTACGCCTAATGAGATGGCAGAGATCCCCGTAATATCGGTGGAGTCGTGGCTTTATAAGCAGATTCGGGATTTGGTAGCCATATATGGATATATCATGAGCGATCATGAGGTGATCATCACAACCGGTTCAAAACAATCGGGTCGTAAGTATTACAAACAATGATAAAAAAAACAGTGGACACAACTATACCACCAAAGTTTGACCTATCAATTGATATATCTCTGTTATCAGTGGCCGAATCGGGAAAAATTGTGGACACGCCTGTGATTGTCGGCGATATGCAAGCGATGACTGGATCCGATTCAGACAAAGATACAAAAGATAGTTATCTATCGCATAGGAGAAGGAGACGTCAGTTCCGACGCGGAGTTCCCGTTAGAAAATCACTACTTTATAGGGCTATATATAATAGTTATCATTTGTCACAACAGTTACCGGAATCGGTGGGCGAAGTGTCGAAGTCGTCGAAACAATCGGGCCGTAAGTTTTGCGGGTGTTTCCCGTGAAAACGTGGTAAATATTGATATAATTTGACGATAATTTTGTTACCACTTCTGTTAACAAGAGTTTCTGAATTTAAATATCTATTGATTTAGTTTTTGTAATATTTGTTTAATTAGTTGTTTTTTGTAATGTTATAATGATTTAAATAAATGTTTCTAAATTTATAATCATGGTTTAATTGCTGAATACTACAGTACTTAAAAAGTAATAATATTATATTTACCTTTTATTTAATTTTAAACAAAATGATAAAAATAAACCTTTGTTTGTTTTAAAATTCATTAAGAATTTAAAATTCGTTAAAAATAATTAACGCAATATTATAATTATTTAATAAAATGTATCTAAATTGCATGCAAATAATGGTTGTAATTTATAATCGTAATTGTGATTAAATTAATCAATACAATGGTGTTATTTAATTTTTAAATTAAATATTGAATTTATGAATAAAAACATTTAAAAACATTTGTCTAACATTGCAAAAATAATTCAAACAATTTTTTATATTTTCCTTATAATTGAAATATACAAAATTAATTTTATTAAAATTAAATAGACCAAGATTATTATTTGATTATTGAGTCACCATTATAAACCGGACAATTCTATTGAACAAAATAAATGTTCATGAGTTAAATAATGTGATATAGCTTTCTCTGACAACTAATAATCATACCATATATGGAAAAAATAATTAATATATAGCATATTAAATTATATTTATACTAATTATAATCACCCAAATATTATGTATGAATTACCACATAATTATTTATTATACAAATCATTTGTAATTTCTCACCCCTTATATAATGTATACTAATATTTCTGAACAACTTATCTCTTGTTTGGTTTTTCCACACTTTTAATCGTGTGATAAATTCAAAGGCAATTAATTGATATTTGTTTTCAATTATTAAAACATTGTTTAATAAAATCAATTAATTAATACATCTGTCACTTATTATTTAAAACAAAATGTCATCAAATTATGTCCAAAAGTTTTATTCACACGAATGCCAGCCATCGGGACATCAATTATCTCATCAGACAATCGCTAAGTTATGGCATCTAATGGTTGGAGAGGGACTCAGAGCACGGATGTCAGCAGTGGTCCAGTTGTGGTCAAAGACAACGACAACTAATCTATGGTTAATGACTCATAAGAAGATCGTATGTGTGATCACCGATGGAACCGATGGCCAAGACTTTTGTTTCGCTCGTTTTTATGATTACAATTTAAAGACTATTCACTTTGAAGTGGATCTCAATCAGGACTTTGTCTTCGAGACCAAGAGTTTAGTGTTTTATGTCTTAAGCGGATCCTATGGTCAAAGCATTGGTATTAAATTTGGTGACAAATTAAAGGCAAAAGATTTCAAAATAATAATAATGGAGAAAAGACTCAAACAATTTGAACATTTGTCTGAATGCAAGCCATCGCCAGACTTGCCATCAGATATTGAACTCAAGACAATTAATCCCAAAGAGAAACTTCATGGCATGGATTTGGATAAAACATCACTCAATACTTCCAAACCATTGGATACTTATCTGAAGACATTTTTGCAGGAATACCGATTTCAAGCATATCGGGGTTCTCACCGGATATCGGAACCGATCCGTAGGCCTACAACTCTGTCAAAAACATCAGTAAAACCCAAAACTAGGTCTTCAATAGTAACCAATCGACGAGTCATTGGCTTACAATCGGATCCAATTCTGAACACAAAGATTGAGAAATGTTTCACTCAATTATCAAAAGGCCTTCAATTAATGGATTCATCACTCAATCAACTGATACTTAATATCCGCCACAGAAGTTATAGATATCAAGAGGTATTGCCATTGAGTTTAATTCCTATGAAATATATAATCAGCGATAAATTACAGCCAAATTAATTTTAAAACAGGATCAACCAATTGATATATCCTTGTCATCGGTGGTCAAATCGGTGGACACACCTGTGATCGGCGGCCATAACCAATCGATCACTGGATCCGATTTAGACAAAGACACAAAAGTTAGTCATCGGTCACACAATTGGAAGAACTGCTTCCGACGCAAAGTTATACATAATAATTATTATCTGTCACTACAGTTACCGGAATCGGTGCCCGAAGTGTCTAAGAATTTGATGGCAAAAACTGCGGTTAATGGACACGAGTTGGCCACCGATGACCACTCGGATCCAATTCGTGACACTGAAAAGGAGGACAGCAGAGACAGTGTCATTGAAAGCAACGACAATCAATCCGACGCCGAAATCGATGACTACGACAAAGAATATGATGTAATTCTTTGTTTACAGAGTGAGCATCACATTAGGGTCGGCTACGGCTTAACCTTTTGGCGACGCTATCATATGGCGACCAATAAACCAAATGATGCCCACAATGTCCGCCATCAGGGGCCTCAACGCCGGGTAATACCCGTGGATTCGGAAACATATAACCGGTTTCTGGAAGTGATGGGCGACAAGAAGTATGGCAATGCGTTCATTAGAAATGAATCATTGAGGTTAGCATTGGATGCAGAAACAGATGGTGGCCGCAGTGCGCCCTTTGTCATGGCAAAGATCCCGGTAATATCGGTGGAGTCGACACTTTATAAACAGATCCGGGATTTGGTGGCCATATATGCAGATATCAAACATCAAGTGGTTATCACAACTGATTCACACTTTGACGGTGAAAGCGATGGCAACAATGAAAAATATGCTGCGTTTAATGGACACGAGTTGGCCACCGATGACCACTCGGATCTAATTCGTGACACCGTAGAGGTTGGCGAAGACATTGCGAGTGAAGACACCGGTAATCACGGCGGAAGCGATGGCAACGTTGAAGAATATGATGTATATATTAGTCGTTATCCGTGTAATAAACGTAAGATTAATGTATACAAAGGTTGTAAGTTATGGCCACATAAGGCGACCGAAGTATCATTTGATGTAAACAACCCCACATTCTTATATCCCTTCCGCTTAATATAAGTGGATTTGGAAACTTTTCAACGGTTCCGGAAAGTGATTATGGATTCGACCAGCGATTCCATTCTCACCCACGTGTTCATCAGAAATGATTCATCGATGTCCAAACCGGGCGATAAAGCAAATGATGGCCACAGTGAAGGCAAACACCCGGTAATATCGGTGAACCCACAAACTTATAAACAGATCCGGGATGTGTTGGCCATGGATGGATGGGTTGGCAATATGTCTCTCAAATACCGAGTGGTCATTAAAACCGATTTAAAGTTGTCTAAATCATCGAAACAATCGGGCCGTAAGTTTTGCTGGTGTTTCCAATGAATACGTGATAAATGTTGATATAATTTGACAATAATTTTGTTACCACTCGGACTAACACGATTTTCTGAATTTAAATACATATTATTTTTTTTAAAATATTTTTTTAATTACTTGTTTTCTGTAATGTTGTATTGATTTAAATAAATTTTTCCTATATTTGTAATCATGGTTTAATTACTAAATAATATTTTAAAACTAATAATATCATACTTACATTTTATATAATTTTAAACAAGATGATAAAAATAAACTTGTTTATTATAATATTCATTAAGACTTTTTAAAAATAATTAACGCAATATTATAATTATTTAATGCATTTATCTAAATTGAATATAAATAATAGTTGTAATTAATAATTGTTATTGTGATTGAATTAAACAATACAATGGATTTACTAAATTTTTAAATTAATTATAGAATTTATAGATAAGAACATCATTTTAAATAATTTGTCTAACATTTAAAAAAATAATTAAAACAATCTTTTATATTTTCCTGCTAATTGAAATACACAAAATTAATTTTAGTAAAATCAAATAGACCAAGATTATTATTTGATTAGTGAGTCAGCATTATAAATGGGGCAATTCTATTGGACAACATAAAAGTTCATGAGTTAAATAATGTGATATAGTTTTCTCTGACAACTAATAATTATACCATATATGGATAAAATAATTAATATATAGCATATTCCATTATATTTATACTAATTATTAACCCCCAAATATTGTGTATAAATTATACATAATTATGTATCAATATTATACAAATCATCTTAATTTCTCACCCCTTATATAATCTATCATAATATTTATGAATTACTGATCTATTGTATGGTTTTTCCAGAATTTTAATCGTGTGATAAATTCAAAGATAATTAATTGATATTTAATTGTTTTTTTTTATTTAATAAAATTAATTAATAAATATATCTCTCACTCATTATTTGAAACAAAATGTCACAAAATAATGTCCAAAAGTTTTCTTCACACGAATGCCAGCCATCGGGACATCAATTATCTCATCAAACAATCGCTAAGTTATGGCATCTAATGGTTGGAGAGGGACTCAGAGCACGGATGTCAGCAGTGGTCCAGTTGTGGTCAAAGACAACGACTGCTAATCTATGGCTAATGACTCATAAAAAGATCATTTGTGTGATCACCGATGGAACCAATGGACAAGACTTTTGTTTCGTCCGTTTCTATGATCACAATCTCAAGACTATTCACTTTGAAGTGGATCTCAATCAGGAATTTGTCTTCGAGACCAGGAGTTCAGTGTTTTTTGTCTTAAGCGGATCCTATGGTCAGAGCATTGGTATAAAATTTGGTGACAAATTAAAAGCAAAGGATTTTAAGATAATAGTAATGGAGAGAAGAATTAAATTATTGGAACAGTTATGTGAATCAAAGCCATCGCCAGTCTTGTCATCAGATTGTATATTGCAGACAATTGGGCCCAAAGTGAAACTTCATGGCATGTCTTCGGATAAAACATCACTCAATACTTCCAAACCATTAAATACTAATCTGAAGACACATTTGCATGAATACCGATCCCAAGCATATCGGGGTTCTCAACGAATAACAGAACCGATCCGTAGGCCTACAACTCTGCCAAAGACATCAATAAATTTCCAGAATAGGTCTTCAATAATAACAAATCAATCAGTCGTT